GAACCTGTTTGACACTATGGGTTCCAGGACCACTAACACTCTGAGCTGAAAAAGTTTGGTCCTAACCGCACCCAACATCTACAAGTAATTAACAGTCCCATGCTGAGACCTTTCTCAAAATTCAGACCGGTGGCAGGTTGCCAACAAAGAGAAGAAAATATCGCAACCCCGACACGAGTGTGCTCAGTCAAACAATGAACTTACGACCGGCAGAAAACAACTCCAGTTGAGTATGCCGATGCTGTATCTCAGCCGTGTTGGCCTGAAAATTTAAACATGCTAATTAAATCCAAAATCGTATAATTATTTTTAATAGAAACCGTATCTTAATTTGTTCTTGCACTGCATCATATCGTGTATTTCATCTGTATATGTGTAATGTGTATATGTATCAATGACTACACCTATACCGCATATTCTGCAACAGACTATAATTAATCACCTTATTATTGTCTCTCCATTTACCATGTCTGACTGCACTAATACCCTTTTAACAGTGGACACCGATATCAGTATACATGTAGGCTTTTTGTTCAAAAAGGAATATGCAGGAAATTATATGTAACAATTAACTGTGTACTAATTACATGTTTGAATGTTATCAGTTTTACGTTCTGAGATACAGTGATGTAAGCATCTTCTAAAATCTTCTAAAAATATAATAAAATACAAAACTCTCTGCCGTAATTTTTTGTGGAAATCATTCGATCAAGTAAAAAATGACTGCGTGACAAGACGAATCAACTATTTATACCCGATAAAAGAAACTGCCGTATTTTAGGAACAGTGCTATAACAAGACATTTGAAATTTCTAACAAGCAGATACATTAGAGACAGTGACTAGACTACAGGTACGTAATCCGTATCAATCAAAGGTGTAAAAAAACTGAAAATCATATCTGTCGGAGACCTACCAAATTACCAAGTTTTATCATTACTATATTTATTACAATGCAAATACTTTAGTGATACATTTTTTAGAGGAGAGGGCATACACACAAGTATATTGCTTCCGTGTGTGAATGCAGGTTGTACTTGGTATCTCAGTTCTCAGTTTCATACCGGTTGTATAACTGAATTTGTATATGGAACCATGCGTACAGCATGACAATTACTTGCTATTCGACAGTTTACAACACACATAACACGGTCAAAAATTTTAGGCACCGCTTTTGCGAGTTATGTAGTACAGTAATGTTTTATTAAAATCTATTTCAATTTGTTTTCACCATTTTCCCTATTGACAGTCGTTGTTACGTGCGTCACTAGGTAATTAGTACGGATTGACCTTGTTTATTGTTTCTATACTTTGAGGATTTCTGTGACAACTGGCGGACGTAATTCAAACTCCTTCCGCACTGACACCGCATCAAATATATTTGTGTACCGATTACATAACTCTAATGAACAGGGTGGGGTGGTAGTTCACCGGACGACACTGTGTATATTGGGCGGCTCCTTTGATATCTCCTCCAAACATACGTTTATTGAATGACCCCATTAAACGATGATACACATCTCGATGAATATATCAAGGCACTAATTCATCTTTCATAAACATTTTTTTGTCTTTGTGCTTAATATATCCACATATCAACGAACATTTGTAAAACATGTATCCTAAAAAAAATAAACATTTTCAGGCTAGGTATTTGCCCACAGCAACACCTGCATAACTGTTTATTCACGCGTGGTGTGGTAGATCGTAATTGACCGAGAGCAGGTATTGTAGAATCACCTGTAAATAAGGCCGACACTGTAATTAGATACAACGTACTAATGAGAATTATCATAAGGAGGCTGTTGTTTTTTCTGAACTGTTACCATTTTCATACCAAAAGTGACAATGCAGTTAAAAGTTGCTTTAGTGTCACAATATTCACTCACGTTTTCCTCAATCGCATTGAAACATAATTCCCACTGGTCAGTTCGAAACCGCATGTAATTAAATAATTATTTCGAGATTTCGTTAGAATGTAAGATATTCAGCCAAACGTTATGCAATAAAAGACGAATAGTTTTTTTCATTAAAATACGCGCACGCGTACCTGTATATTGCATACCTGGTGTCACGTAATTGCCCAGTGTGATGTATCAACGGGACATTAAATGGGAAATGAAATAGAAACTAACTAAAATTTAATGTTGTGGAAAATAACTCCAATGAATTGGAGTACACGCACATGAATTCGTATGATAAACTGTCAAAACGTTTTGAGAGGTAAGGCCGGGTTCATTAAAGATCGCTACAATATGTAAAACAGGTGAAATTTGTAGAACTAAAGGAAACATCCAACCAAATGCCCTTTTTAAATAGTAATGTAATGATATAATATAAAGTATATTTCACATGATACAATATACTTTGCAAACAGTTAGTTGATGCTTGAAAGGGACTGACGTAAACATGGACGAAATATTTTAATAACGCCGTAAAATAGTTGAATTAAGTAAAAATTAGTTAATTTTTTGTGTCATGATACTTGAATAAATACATTTAATGTATTTGCGAAAAAAAACATGAGTTTTGAGTAAAGGAACATATACTCGCCCATGGGCCAAACCCTTTTTCTCGCCCATGGGCGAAATATTTCAATATCGCTATAAAATCGTTGAATTAAGTTAAAATAAGTTAAATTTTGTGTCATGATACTTGAATGAATACATTAAATGTATTTGCGAAACAAAAACATGAGTTTTAAGTAAAGGAACATATTCTCGCCCATGGGCCTGCCCATGGGCCTACCCATGGGCCAAACCTTTTTCTCGCCCATGGGCGAAATATTTCAATATCGCTATAAAATCGTTGAATTAAGTTAAAATGAGTTTAATTTTGTGTCATGATACTTCAATGAATACATTTAATGTATTTGATTTGCGAAACAAAATCATGAGTTTTAAGTACAGGAACATATACTCGCCCATGGGCCAAACCTTTTTCTCGCCCATGGGCGAAATATTTCAATATCGCTATAAAATCGTTGAATTAAGTTAAAATGAGTTAAATTTTGTGTCATGATACTTGAATGAATACATTAAATGTATTTGCGAAACAAAAACATGAGTTTTAAGTAAAGGAACATATTCTCGCCCATGGGCCTGCCCATGGGCCTACCCATGGGCCAAACCCTTTTCTCGCCCATGGGCGAAATATTTCAATATCGCTATAAAATAGTTGAAATAAGTTAAAATGAGTTAAATTCTGTGTCATGATACTTCAATAAATACATTTAATGTATTTGCGAAACAAAATCATGAGTTTTAAGTAAAGGAACATATTCTCGCCCATGGGCCAAACCTTTTTCTCGCCCATGGGCGAAATATTTCAATATCGTTATAAAATCGTTGAAATAAGTTAAAATGAATTACATTTTGTGTCATGATACTTGAATGAATACATTAAATGTATTTGCGAAACAAAAACATGAGTTTTAAGTAAAGGAACATATTCTCGCCCATGGGCCTGCCCATGGGCCTACCCATGGGCCAAACCCTTTTCTCGCCCATGGGCGAAATATTTCAATATCGCTATAAAATAGTTGAAATAAGTTAAAATGAGTTAAATTCTGTGTCATGATACTTCAATAAATACATTTAATGTATTTGCGAAACAAAATCATGAGTTTTAAGTAAAGGAACATATTCTCGCCCATGGGCCAAACCTTTTTCTCGCCCATGGGCGAAATATTTCAATATCGTTATAAAATCGTTGAAATAAGTTAAAATGAATTACATTTTGTGTCATGATACTTGAATGAATACATTAAATGTATTTGCGAAACAAAAACATGAGTTTTAAGTAAAGGAACATATTCTCGCCCATGGGCCTGCCCATGGGCCTACCCATGGGCCAGACTTCGCCCATGGGCAGGCCCATGGGCCAAACTTCGCCCATGGGCAGGCCCATGGGCGACATAGTCTAAATATTGAGTTTTTAAACAATTTTTTTTTCATTTTCTCTTCCTTGGTATGTTCCCATGAAAACGGCATGTTTAATTTTGTAAATACCTTCAACCGAGACTGGGCAAAGAGCGTAGAGTTTCTGGACTTTTGGGTTTCCAGAATTAAAATGGGACGTGTTAATGTGTGAAGCCCATTTCTGGTGTGTCCCGCCGTGTTATTGCTGGAATATTGCTGAAAGTGGCTTGATCCTCACACCTTTACTCTGGGGTGAAGGTTGTCATATCAGAAAGATAATTATCTACACGCTGCTCTGAGGCAATCTGAGCTCTCTCGGTTTATGGAAATAATATTTCAGCAATGTGTAGCACTGGACTCAAGTGAGATGAGCAGTAAAGATTTGACATGTCTATTTGCTTTGGTCATATTTTGTATGTCGTATATAGAAAATGGTGACAAGTAATGTTTAAATGCGGGTGACGATCCATTTATATTCAGGCCTTGAAACCCAAATCAGCAGCGCACGACCCAGAGGAATAGTCGTAAAGATAAGTGCGGGTTGATCGACAAGCAAATCGCAAGCCAACACTATTACCGATATCTGCACATTAAGACTTAAGATAACCACATGAATGACAGATTTAGCAATTTACACATACTTACACTATCTCATAATACTTTGCATATTTTATTTTAAAAGCCGGTTAATGAGTGAGTTTGGTTTAACTCCGCTTATTCCATCTTTATGATGTTAAATGTGGGAGAAGGCAAAAAGTCAAAATATGAAATCGGTCCCAGACGTTTACCACATTAGTGAACGCCAGATCACAAATATGCTACTGATAGCTCAACGATCAAAATCGTGACGGACTTTGGATTCGAGCCAATAAACAACGCCAAAGAAGTACCTTTGACCGCTGGGCCACCTGTGCTTTTTAAGATCATTTTTAGAAAACAATTGCAGTGACGTTTTGATTTCCGAAATACTACGGGGTAAACCAGGATTTCCTTGTTGACCCCGTAGTATTTCGGAATTCCATTTGCAGGTATGGAACCGGTATTATAATAATATTTATATATTTTTCATTTGTCTTTTCAGTTCCCCCTAGGACTAGCCTCATCATGTCGAATCTATCATCGGATGCCAACACATCGGATACAGGAGAGACGGTGGAGGTGTCCAAGAGTGCTCAGCACGCCGTCATCTGCATCCTCATGGTGTTGTCCGTGTTCGGCTCTATTGGAAATGGCCTTGTCCTGTACGTGTTCTCCAAGAAGGTTGATAAAGTGACATCCACCATCTTCATCCTGGCACTGGCTGGAGCCGATTTTGTCACATCTCTTGTCATCATGCCATTCACAGCTGTCAACATTCTTTTGGACGACTGCTTAAAATATGACTTCATCTGTAAACTGTACCAATTTTTTATCACCTGCAATGTTCCACTGTCGTCATTCCTTATGGTGGCCATAGCCGTTGACCGTTACCTGTGTATCTGCCATCCGTTTGTTCGCGCAATGACCCCGGCCCGAGCAAGAATGTCTATTATGTGCCTTAGTCTCTTTGCCTTCCTCCTAGGCTCAATAACATCTTTGGCTTACGGGGTTGTAGAACCTAGAACTGTCATAAACAGTGCCAGTAACATCACCAACACATCTGAAGTCACGAGTGATGTATACCCCGGAAGTGACGACAACTCCACGACAGCGGAAGTAACAGAATATGTGTATACCGGGAAATGCTTCCCCAATATGATCATCCTAAGTCGTGATTTTCTTATGAATTATCAGAAGGTGTATGCTTCTTTTTTCCTTATATCCGTCGTGATTGTTTCCATTTTGTATGGTCTAATATATTATTCCGTGACCCAAAGACGAAAATGGCGTTGGAGACAAAAGTCATTAAAACCGTCGATGAAGTCAATGACGACGTGTCATACCGACGTTGAAACCGTCGAACTCCACAAAACAGACAAAAACGGCGTTAATGCTGAAGAGGATCCGGAGGAGAAACAACAGCTTAACCATCGGAAGCGTCCGAGTGGTCGAGATAAAAAGGATTATAACCGACTGGCAAACATTCGCACAGCCGCTATGTTGTTTGTAGTCACAACGGTGTTTATAATTGCTTTTCTGCCTGCATGGCTGATGGCTCATAGGTTAATAGGATACAATATTGTTGTGTTTTATATGTACTTTGTCTACAGTGTTGCCAATCCCGTGATTTATGCGTTCATGAACGTCGCCTTTCGAAAGGAACTGAAAGAAGTATTTACAAAAGGGAGTTCATGCACACGTTAAACATCTTGGACTGCGCAGAGACCGAGACTTCGATATGGGATCGTGCTTATCTCACACGCTGATCGTAGCAATGACATTTCACGCACTGGAGTTACGTGTGTACTGTTATTTAAGCTGTTGAGCTCTTTAAGCTTTTAACTATAAACATGACCTTGGATACGATGCCCCTTCCAACAGAGGACATGAGATGCGTGCGCAAGAAGTAATAATTCGAACAGTTCAGTAAAATATCAAACGCCTTTGATTGATGTGACTTTTATGTTCCATCAGAAATCGCTATCAATATGGTTCCAGCGGACCAGTGATCCTGGGAAGACCTGCGTGTACAGCAACTTTGGCATGTATACCTTTATTATGTGTTACCGTGTCTATCCCATGCTACAGACCGTGCTAGCAAACATAAATCCAGATGTATATTGCTTTTTATCCTGTATACATAATAATATTTATGACATAAAGTCATCACTTCCTGTGACCTCAGCCAATCAAAAACGCTCTCAACTGACCCCACTTCTCGTTGAATTTTGGCCTTCAGACACATATTTCAAATCAAAATTGGGTTTTGATTGGCCGAGAACACACACGTGGGACTGCGCATGCGTTATCAATAGACAGTATGTGGTTATTGTGAGCGCTGCAGTTAGGCTGCCAGAAGCCCTATGCAAATAAGCAATGTACAATAATGTAAATAGCCAATAGTTGTTGCATGTGATAAGTCAATTAAACTGTGTCGGTACACACTGTAGTTATGTCATATCATGAAGGAGATATATCGTCATTGTCTGTCGTTTAAGCTGTGTTCCCCGTTCGGGTTAGAATTGAACCAATCGACCTGTACCTGTCGTGAGAGTGAGTGAGTGTGAGTATGGTTATTGCTCCGCTTTCAGCAATATTCCATCAATATCATGGCGGAGGACACCAGAAATGGGGTTCACACAATTTATCCATGTGGAGTATCGAACTCGGGCCTAAGGAGTGACTAGCGGGCGTTCTAAACATTAGGCTACCCCACCGCCCCACTTGTCGCAAGAAGCGATTTAATTGATCGGGTGGTCGGGATCGGTGATGTTTTTAATTGTCTGTCATCGTGTCATGATGGCGTCGGTCTTTGCTGATAATATCACTCACCGGTTTGTCGGGCCCAGACTCGATGATTTCCAGACCGTCGTCATGAAACTGGAATATTGATCTATGTGTATTAAACAACAAACTACAAAGTTCTCTCGCTTTCTCTCGCTTTCTCTCTCTCTCTCTCTCTCTCTCTCTCTCTCTCTCTCTCTCTCTCTCTCTCTCTCTCTCTCTCGCTCTCTCTCTCTCTCTCTCTCTCTCTCTCTCTTACACCTTACTGCCTCCCATGTCACCCAACATAGTTCATTCTGCATTCTTTTTGCTATATCCCCTTTGTTGCGCTAAATATATCCTCAGCACCTTACCCGTTTCACCTTACCCGTTTCTGCATAGGGCTTCTTACCCGTTTCTCCGGAGTTACAGAGTAAGCTTGTGGGTTGTTTGTTTGTTTGTTATTTAACGCCGCACTCAGCAATATTCCAGCCACATGACGGCGGTCTGTGAATAATCGAGTCTGGACCAGACAATCCAGTGCTTGATATCATGAGCATCGATCCAGGCAATTGGGATACGATGACATGCATCAACCAAGTCAGCGAGCCTGAACACCCGATCCCGTTAGTGGCCTCTTACGGCAAGCACAGCCGCCTTTCCTCACCATTACTGAATAGTCTTCTAACCAAACAAACCAGTGATGGTGAGGTGGGGTGAAATGGGATTTAACTTAGTCCAAGATTGTGTGCACTCACTTAGCAACGTGCATGTGTGTGTGTCTGTGTATGTGTCTGTGTTTGTGCGGCTTAGTCCGGACTGATGCCGGTCTCATTGTGTTAGCCCACTGACATACCATGCCGCAGTTTAACATGAATACCTCAATCAGACAAAGTGTACTGGCTCGTAGCCGACTAGACTTTGTTTTATCCCCTTAATACCGAGCGCCGGACATGGTAACAACAAGAACTGTCTTTTTGTATGACGCGGCCTGGGATCGATCTATCCACTACACCAGGGAGACGGTTCAGTAATACTGCATTGAGAACGATCAAATTAAAAGAAATCGATTGATTTTTGGTGTTTTGACACAATTTATGATGGTAAAAGCACTGTATTTATTATGTCATCTTAAGATATACACTGTCATCTAAAGTGAATCGTTCATTCACAAAAGACACAAGACAACATATTATTCTATATTCTGTTGGAAAAAAATCTTTTTTGGTTTATCCTTACAAGACCGCCTCCGTGGTCTAGTGGTTGAGCGTCCGCCTGGAGAGCGGAAGATCCGGAGTTCGATCCCCGGGCGCGTCATACCAAAATACGTTAAAAGATGGTACTTGTTACCCTGTCTAGCGCTCGGCATAAAAGGGGCTAAAACAAGGACTGGTCGGCTCGGAGTCAGTATACTGTGTCTGAGTGGGGTATTCATGTTAAACTGCGGCATGGTATCTCAGTGAGATAGCACTGTAAATCGGCATTAGTCCGGACTAGTACAAGCAGCCACACACACACACACACGTGCACGTCGCTATATAAGTGCAATAATCTTGGACGTGACGTTAAACCCCATTTCACCTCACCTCACCTCACCTCACCTCACCTTATACTTACAATTTTCTAACGTGTTTATCATTTTTAGATGATGGTTGAAAACCATACTTCGAAAACGTCACTTTTTAACATGGATTCAACTTTGGTAGCGAGGATGGATATCATAATGACACAAAGAATGTTGGTTTTGGTTTTGGTTGATTTGTGGATCATTGTCAGGGCCAAACCTGATTTATCTGCATTAGAGAGTGATTCATAAATACATGATTTGGTCTTCCAGCAGACATTTCGTAGGTGACATCCATGCCTTCCGTACCAGGACGCCTACCAGGTGAGGTGAAATGGGGTTTAACGTCGCGCCCAAGATTATTGCACTAATATAGCGACGTGCATGCGCGCGCGTGTGTGTGTGTGGCTGCTTGTACTAGTCCGGACTGATGCCGATTTATAGTGCTAGCAGTACTGAGATACCATGCCGCAGTTTAACATGAATATTCCACTCAGACACAGTACACTGACTCTGAGCCGACCAGTCCTTGTTTTAGCCCCTAAATGCCGAGCGCAAGACAGGGTAACAACAAGTACCATCTTTTACGTCTTTTGGTACGACGCGGCTAGGGATCGAACCCCGGACCTTCCGCTCTCCGGGCGGACGCTCTACCATTAGACCACGGAGGCGGTCAGAACGCCTACCAACTTCAGATGTATGATTTCGTCTGTAATTCTGTCAGCCGTACCGAGCATACCATTTCGCACCGTCACCGCCCTGAGACTCCGCCACGACCACTTCAGGTCGGAAATGGGGGATAATCATCGTATTGGGAAAATGATGGAGACAGGTCAATGGTGCCTCGATCATGATCCCTTCATATTCGTATTCCGCTCCTTGAGGGGCAGGTGCACTTAGTGGGTGTGAATATGGGTTACGTGCTTATACTGGCGAAGGACAGACGGAATCTACTCACGACGTCCTTTGGTTGTTTCCGGTTGGTTTCCAAAATTATTCTGGACAAGCGCCCTAGGTTACACAGGATGAGGGAAGTGTCTGGCGCCGTAGCTATGCCGTTCAACTAACTGTATGAATTAAATCTGATATATGTATATACCAGGAAGCAGTTGGATTGGTCGTTAGGTGTATCGGCGACCGGTAAATCGTCTGAAATGTCTTCACTGGCTTGTCCCTTCTTGAATTGTTGTCGTTACAGACATAAAGTCTGGAATTGAATGCATACTTCGGAGCAAGACTTTCATTACTAAAGATGTGAGGTGAGGTGAAATGGGGTTTAACGTCGCGTCCAAGATTATCGCACTTATATAGCGACGTTCATGCACGTGTATGTATGTGTGTGGCTGCTTGTACTAGTCCGGACTGATGCCGATTTATAGTGCTAGCTCCGATACCATGCCGCAGTTTAACATGAATACCCCACTCAGACACAGTATACTGACTCCGAGCCGACCAGTCCTTGTTTTAGACCGTTAATGCCGAGCGCCAGACAGGGTAACAACAAGTACCATCTTTTAACGTCTTTTGGTATGACGCGGCCGGGGTCATTACTAAGATGAATTATTAAAGTGAGTGAGTGAAATATATTTAACGCTGAGTAGTTTAGTTATATCACTGCATGGAATCAAGTGTCGCAGGTCGTGCATTGATTACGTGATACATATAATGATGAAACTCGAATCTACGACAAGCGGTTTCTGGGACGACGAAAGGATGTAGTTTTGCGCGGCTAATTGTTGTGCCTATGGCCTTAGATGTTTATTGGTCGGGGCATACCTTTTTTACGATCATCTGGTATCATCACTATCTGATAGTGATTCATAAACACGTGCTCATGATACAGTCGGGATCGTAGAATGGACTCGAGATTTCTTATAATATGGAAAGGCCTTTGTCGCTTTTATTTACACATTTTCATGTGATTATGGACAGGGATTTTGTCGCTTTTATTAACATGTGATATTCGGGAAGTGTAACGACATATAAAACAAACGACACACAACATAATTTTTAATCTTCATAAATATTGTATTTAAACTTAGGTTTCCCACGGCATACGATATCTGTACAAAAGCAAGAGTTAAATATTTAACACCGCGATCTCTATCTCGATCTCGTAAAGGAGTGAATGCCGTCACTGAAAGCATATTTTCAAATGATCATCTCAGTTAGGCATATTTCCAAAGATCAGCAAGATTACCAGCAGTCTGACACAAGGACGAACAGTCGTTGGAAAGGCTACATCAGACCACATATTTTTGTGATCTCGTTGACTCAAACCTTTGAACTTTTATCACTTGAAGCCACGGACATTTAAATAGCGTCGATTTAATCGGATCAGTTGAAATAAGTCAAAGAACGCGTTGAGTACACTTCTACGTTTTCGCTGTGTGAGTTGTCTCTGTGAGAGTCGTCGCTGTGTGAGTCGCCCCGGTGTGAGTTGCCACTATGTGAGTGCCCTGTGTGAGTTGCCACTGTGTGCCACGTGTGAGTGCCTTGGATGAGTTGCCACTGTGTGCCACGTGTGAGTGTCATGTGTGAGTTGCCACTGTTTGCCACGTGTGAGTGTCATGTGTGAGTTGCCACTGTTTGCCACGTGTGAGTGTCATGTGTGAGTTGCCACTGTGTGCCACATGTGAGTGTCCTGTGTGAGTTGCCACTATGTGAGTGGCCTGTGTGAGGAGCCGCTATGTGCGTGCCCAGTGTGAGTTGCCACTGTGTGAGTGTCCTGTTTTAGTAGCCATTTTGTGAGTAGCCGCCATCTGAGTGGCCTGAGTAGCCGCTATGTGAGTGCCCTGTGTGAGTAGCCGCTATGTGAGTGCCCTGTGTGAGTAGCCGCCATCTGAGTGGCCTGAGTGAGTAGCCGCTATGTGAGTGCCCTGTGTGAGTAGCCGCTATGTGAGTGCCCTGTGTGAGTAGCCGCTATGTGAGTGCCCTGTGTGAGTAGCCTATGTGAGTAGCCGCTATGTAAGTGCCCTGTGTGAGAAGCCGCTATGTAAGTGGCCTGTGTGAGAAGCCGCTATGTAAGTGGCCTGCGTGAGAAGCCGCTATGTAAGTGGCCTGTGTGAGAAGCCGCTATGTATGTGGCCTGTGTGAGTGGCCTGTGTGAGAAGCC